CTCTCTCTCTCTCTCTCTCTCTCTCTCTCTCTCTCTCTCTCTCTCTCTCTCTCTCTCTCTCTCTCTCTCTCTCTTAACCGGTACCGACCTTCGAAAGGTGGCACCTTGATGCAGGTACGGACATGCTGAAAACGAAGCCGGAGCGATGGCCATGCAGGTAAGTCTCAGGTAAGTCCCCTGATCTCCATCACCATCTCTCCCTTCCTGCGCTACTCTACTCTAACAGCGCCCAGCGCTGGTAGACTAGTTCTATCGGCGACTACTGCTGAACTGCCGTCGTCCGAAGTATGCCTCCACCCGATCCTCTACTGAATGTCGGACTAAGGCTGGACTCAGCTATATATAGCGTTGGGTCGGCCTCAGCAGCTGAGTCCTGGCACCCAAACTGAGGTTGGGCCTCAAAAAATTGGCGCCCAAACTAAGGTTGAGCCTCCAGCGCCTACTGAAACGGTGCGGCCTCAAAATCAGGGTCTGGCGCCAAAACACGCGCCAGGGCCTGTAACCGAAACGAGGCCTACACGGCCTCTAAATGGTACCGGTCCTACTCAGCCCTAAAAACCAGCCTACCGACCCTGCAGACCCTACTGAGGGTCGAAACGACACAGACCCTACACTCTACGGACCCCTAGCCTACCTGGTCGGGCCCTGCTGGGCCCATGTGGAACTGAGTATGCCACACCCCCCTCTCCTTGAAAGACCGAGCTTACCTGCGAGGGCGAAGCTGACTGTTGGAGGGTGGGAGGCTTTGCAGCTTCTGTGGCTAGTCGTTTTTTCTCATAGTCGGCGTAGATAAGTGGTGTGGAGGCTTGTAGATGCGGCGGGATGTCGATCACAAAAGAAGGGCCATCGGGCTCATCACCCGCGGCTGATGTGACGCTCCATGTTCCAAACCACTTGGAAGTAGCTTGAGCGAGACATCTTGTTCAAGCGCAAACTCCTCCGTGGAGACCCAAACAAGGTCACCGACGTGGATAGGGCATGGCACGTGATGCCTGTTAGCTTATTGTTGCATGCGGACTTGAGCCTTTTGCATGTTAACGCGGCCTTAGCCAGCAAGTCCCTATACTTCTGAATGGAGGCGGGAGAACAAGCGGTGTCGATGTCGGCAATCCGAAGGAATAGAAGATCAGCGAAGATACTGCCTTTCCGGCCACCGAGGTGCAACTCGAATGGAGTCACGCCGATCGCCGGATGCAACGAAGTGTTGTAGGCGAACTCGATGTCGGGGAGGTGGTCAACCCAATCCTTCTGATCCAGACGGATGAGCGTACAAAGCATCATTTGAGCGGTTTGATGTGCCCGGTTCGTTTGCCCATCCGTTTGTGGATGCCGAGCTGAACTCGGTTTCATCTCGGTGTCGGACTCCTTCATGAGAGCAGTCGAAAATGCCAACATAAAACAAGTGTCGCGGTCATTGACGATGTCTTTCGGAACGCCGTGGCCAAAAATCCAGCCGGTGTGTAAGAGTCGCGCAAGCTCGAGAGTCGTGGCGTAGTACTTGCAAGGAAGAAATTGTACGTACTTGCTCAAACGATCAACGACCGTGAGAATGTCGTCGTGCCCGAAGCGGTCGCGGGGAAACGGGCCGGTGACGTCCATAGCAATGGAGAGGCCGGGTTCCCGCGGAATAGGCAACAGGCATCGTCGAATATGGCTGGCCGACGGGTGATCCGAGGATAGTTGCTCGTGAAGCGTGGCGTATTCCGGATCGGACTTGCATGCTCGCACAAAATGATGATGAAGGGTGTCTTCGAAACTGAACGCGTGGTGAGTCAATGCACGAAGATCTGATCTTCGCGAGAGAGCATCCACGGCTCGGTTGGAGAGGCCCAAAATGTGTTTCGGTGTGAAGTCGAATTGGTCGATGAAGTACATCCATTGAGCGATCGGGTTGTTCACCGTGTCTTGTGTCTTGTAGTATGTCAATGGGTTATTATCCGTAGCCCAAGTGAACCTACGACATCGGAGGAGGAAGTGTCGCCAACGCTTGAGTACCGTGACGAAAGCGAGCAACTCTTTCCGCGCGTCATCAACCGAGTTGATGGGAGGCACCTTTTGGCTGAAATACTCAACCGGATGCCAATCTACTCCGTCGTGTTGTTCCAAAACTGCACCCATACCGTAGCTAGAAGCGTCCGTAGTCGCTCTCATTGGCAAGGTGGCATCGTAGATACTCAAGATGGGAGCGAGAAACAATATCGTCTTCAATTTATGGAACGAACTGCGGACTTCGTCGGTGAAATGGAAGGGCACCTTTGGAGACCGCAATCTTGACAAGGGTGCGACGATCCATGCGTATCCGCCGGGAAGCGTTGGTAGTACTCGGCCAATCCCATAAAAGAGCGAACTTCCATGGTGTTGGTCGGTTCAAGCCAATCTTCGATGACCTTGATCTTGTCAGTGAGCGGACAGATGCCTTGCGGCGTCACAAAGTGGCCCAAGTACTCAAGCTCTTGTTGTGCGAATTCGGACTTGGCTCGGTTGGCCTTGTACTTAGCCGTACGAGCCTGTCCAAAACGGCGCGTAGATGCATGATGTGCTTGTCCAAAGTCCGGCTATACACCACGATGCCATCAAGGTAGATGAGCATGAACCGGTCCAACATGTCGCAAAACTCCGTTGTCATTACCGCTTGGAAGGTGGTCGGGGCATGTGTGAGGCCGAATGGCATTACGACCCACTCGAAGTGCCCGTACTGTGTCTTGAACGAGGTTTTGTAGCGATCTCTTGGATGGATCTCGAGCTGGTGGTAGCCGGCCTTGAGGTCCAACTTGGAGAAGTACTTGGAGCCGCACAAGCGTTCAAGAAGATCGTCGATGCGTGGGAGTGGGTCACCATTCTTAATGGTTTGAACGTTAAGTTTGCGATAGTCGATGCATAAGCGCAACTCCTTGTTCTTCATCCAGACGAATAGAACGGGTGCACCGTAGGGCGAGCAGCTAGGGTGAATCCAGCACTTGGCAATGAGGTCATCGAGTTGCGTTCGTAGCACTTCGAGTTCCTCCTCGCTCATGCGGTAGATACATCGCGCGGAGGTACGGCCCCGTCTTTGAGAATGATCTCGTGCCGAATTGGCTGATTTGGTACGATTCTGGCGGGGGTTTCGAAGACGCCGCCATAGGAGTCAAGAAACTCTACACTACGTGGATCCGGTGGCTGTTCCGTCGCTGGATCGTTGGGAGGGGGGAGGGCGTGCAAGAAGCAAATGCCTATTTCCTCCACATCGTTCCGTGCGATGGACTTGCGAATGCTTGCCGCGGAGACCACATGACAACCAATCGAAGGGTGAGGTGGGGGGACCGTACATGGGACAAGTACCTCGTTCCAATCACGAACGTAAACGGTGTGGTGATAGAAGTTCACCGGGTGGTCCTCGCTGCACAGCCACGACATGCCCAAAATCATGTCGAACTTTGTGTCCAATATGTCGAAAGACACGGCCTCGCGTGCATGTGGGGCGAAGTACACGGGGACGGAGTCGACGCACCGGTCAATGGACTTGTGCATACGACCGTCGGCCAATGTGACTTGCATGGGCTGCGACTTCCTTCGAACTAGCGGCCCAAGGTCGGCGCGTGCCATGAAGTCTTGGCTGATGTAGTT